ATGTTTAAAGTGTTAATACATACCTACATGTGAATAAGAAACAAAGAAACAATATGTTTTCATACCAAGAATTTAGCACTTGTCTTCTCCTTCACAAAATCCATCCAATCATCCATTGAAGAAATATTGTCTGGCTTTAGTTTAGCCAACTTCTCATTAGTTGAAGCAGTTTGAATTTGACTTACCAATTGAGATTTGCTTTCCCTCCATAGCCCACTTATCTTCTCAAAAAAATATTTCTTCTGCCAAGCTTCATGAATATTATATCGTGCCTAAATAATATAGTTATGCAAAAAGTATACTTCATTATAGTAGTAAAATAATTCAATATTAATTGCAAAATAATATAAATAATTTCTTCGATATTGAATGCGTAAATATTTAATACAATACCTGAATAGAATGCCATAATTCGTTCTTCTGCCTTGTTGATTGCTTCTTCCATGTTTCAAGATTCATTGGCACTACCTCTCAAACAAGTGAACCCAAAAATGAAGCCAACCCAACAGATGCATCACCAACAGGTTTGTCCAAACTTATTAAAAGATATGCTTAGCTTTGATTGTGGCTCAACTGCTATTGTTTTCATTTTGGTAGGTCTTCTTCTTCTTTTAGGTTCTAGTTCTTTGGTAGAAGGTTCAGACCCTTCTCCATTTTCCTCTGTCTCAATATGAACCTCCTTGATAGGTGTTAACCTACGAAGTGTTCCCCTTGTTCGAGTAGCAGGAGAATCTAGTACATTAGGTTGCCTTGTAGGGTTCTCGTGTAGCTCATTAGGATTGGGATGATCGACATGAGTTTCCCTTTCTTCATGTATGTGTGTGGGAGGAGTCATGGGTTGACTATCCGTACCATTTTCATGATTTGGGTTTTCAGAAACAAGTGGGATCTCACTTTCTCTCACTCCACTATACTCCCTAATATTTACGTCATCCACTATCTTTCTTTTAACACTCTTTGACGATGTCTGAATGGATGATGCATTGTCATCACAGTCGGTTAAGTCCATACTAAAGGACGTTGCAAATCTCCAAAAATTCTTTTCAGCGTTGCGCTCAGAACGTCGTGGTTCAACGACATATGGTCCTGTAGTTGACGACCTCTTCCATTTCTTGATAATGCCCTTCCTTTTTAGCAAGTCCTAAAGAAACAAAAAAGTAATATTTAGTATATACTAATTTCATAAATAGGAAAACGATTAAAGTTAACTTACCGGTGCATTTGTCTTCATGATGCCAAATTGTGAATTGTTGGGCCTACGAATTTTACCTGAAATAGAAAATACTAAATGACATAATAAGAGTTAAAACAACACACAAATAAATTATCATATTCATATTCACCTTTACAAAATACCTACAAACTTGCCAA